CCGACCCAAAAACATTGGCTTCCCCTACATTTTTCCCCACCCCACGCTACTGCTAAGGACCCCAATTTTTGGCCAGTTTTTACCCTGCAGCCGTTGTCTACACGTGTAACACAACGGCTTATTTGTAGTGTGCCCTGGCAAAAGCGGTTAGGCTGGATTTATTTCTGTCCATTTCACATGCGGCCGTTGCAGTGCATATGGACATCCTGTCCATTTGGCCGCACGGAGCCCCTAATGAAAAAGCTCCGCTTTTTGGACTAAATTAACATGGGATTCCTCCTGCCATTGGACGTACTTCTTCTCACTGGAATATTAACGGTCAGATTGAATACAAAATTGACCCCATTTCTCCGGCCAATGACAGGAGAGTTTTGAAAGTGACAAAAAATGCGATATTCACATTTTCCAGCAGGGGGAGCTCTAAGACCGTGTAATAACTTTGCTGTACTTGGGAAAAACAAAAATAAGTGTATTTATGATGAAACGCGCTTAAAACGGGTAAACAAGTATTTATGACCCCAAACGTTGTGGGTGTGCTACAGCTGGTACCATCTGTCACTATACCAAGCTTTTAATCCATGCAATGTTTATAAATATTTGACATTGTCCGAATGTCTCAATTTTCAAACCAATACATCATATGGTGGCCTATCAACGTTCAAATATCAGCTCCAAATGTCAATGCATTGTGAAAATATGAGCAATATGAGCCTGTCCCTTTGGAGGATATAATTTAACATTGAACCTCTCTTGGAAATGTACAAAATCTGTACATTTCCAGGAGAGGTTCAATGTTAATCAATCTCCATCCAGACGTTTGAAAAACACTTTTCCCGACCTTTTAAACATTATTTCTGCCTTGCAAAGTGCTGTGATGAGCCCTGGTAGTATCAGACTATTTTAAACAACTTTTCCCCGCCTTTCAAACCCTTTTCCTGGGTTGAAAAGGCTGGTGCTGCATCCTGCTCTCTGGGTACACTTTGTCTCTATTTACACCACTTTTCCCGACGTTTCCAACACGTATTCCTGCCTTAAAAAGTCAGGTCCTGCATCCTGCTCTCTGGGTAAACTCTGTCTCTTTTTAAACAACTTTTCCCGACGTTTCAAACACTTATTCCTGGGTTGAAAAGTATGTGATGTGCCCTGGAAGTATTATACTATTTAATACACCTATTCCGACATGTGAAACACTATTTATTCCTTGTCAAGTGCTGTGATGCACCCTGGAGGTATTAGACTATTTAAACAATGTATACCCAGGATTCAATCACTTTTCCTGGCTTGCAAAGTGCTGTGATACAGCCTGTTCTCTGGGTACAGTCTTGTGAAATTAGCTGATGCTGTCTGCAGCAACCGGTACTTCGCTTCTATTTCAGACACTTTCCCAGGAATTTTGAACACTTTTCCTGGCTCAGAAGGTCCGGTTCTGCATTCTGACTCGTGTCCATTTGTAGAAGTTTTTTTTTATATTAAACCTCTCCTGGAGTACAGAATCTGTACATTTCCAGGAGAGGTTCAATGTTAAAAAAAACTCCTCCAAAAGGAAAGGCTAAAACACACTTTCAGACGTTTAAAAACACTTTCCCCCGCATTTCAAAACAGTCAGGTGCTGCATCCTGCTCTCTGTGTACTCTATGTCCACATTTAAAGAGCCTGTGACACGAGTTTCCCCCATCATCCAAACCCATCAATTTGAGTAAATATTGTCCCCTTGAAAACCGTTACTGAACTGATTTTGGATATTTGTACTTTGATAACCATTAATCTGCCCTTCAATGTTGACCATTTTCTGGATCTTCTCGGGGATTCTTCAAGTCCCGCCAAATGATGTGTGACGTCATTGCGGGCACAGCGCTCCAGCTGCACCGTTCAGGATCCCATCATCTGCATGTAAACACGATGGCGCACACAGCAGCAAGCTCAGACAGCGATGACAGTTTAATGTTGAACGTGTCTGAGAGCTCATATGAGGCTGAAGGATCGCTTTATGTTGTATCTGTTAGAAGTTTAGGAATTAGGTGCGTCAATATGGGCGATCATACGGTCATGTAGCCAGTGGTGGACTGGGACTAAAAATCATCCCGGGACTCTCGACCGGCCCACTTCGGTACCGCTAGTAAATTGTCAACGGGGGGAGTGGGGGATGTCAGGGGCGGCGGGTGCTGTAGATAGTAAATGTAAATATGTAAATATTTGTGTCACTGCATCCTGGTAAAATACAAATATAATGCAATATCTGTGTCTTTGACATTAGCGCTGCTAGCCACCTGTGCCCTGTACTACGAAGCCAGTTCAACATACCCTGGATATGTTTGAGTAACAAACTAACAACAACAAACTAACAAACGAGATCTCGCTAAGCAGTCCTACGACGCTGGTTATCAACTCGGTAAATCAAGCCAGGGTTTCTCTCTCCAGCTGAGAGCGCGTTCACGTCTAAGACACGAGTGGATCTGACTTTAATTACATTTGACTCGAGTGTTTCGTCAACATAATGTGTTGCTTAAAATAATACTTCTGCATACAGTATGTGACACTGTAAGTGTTGCACGGCCAGACACGGCAGATAAGGAAATATATGATATATTATGATATTATATGATCGATGATCTGATTGATGATGTAATATGAATGATAAGTGCGACACGTCGGCGTCTTCTCTGCATACGGCAGTTTAAACTGTATTTCCTTTATCCTGTAATATGACTTGAGAGATTTAAACTCCGCACACTGAGTTGATCTCTTTTCTATAGACGCCGGAGGCGGGCAGCGTCAGGTAAAAACAGTTATTTAGCCTTCCCAAACCTGAGCCTCACGTTCGTGACTTATCCGACCGGCCCACTTCGGTACCGGCCCATCGGGATTCGTCCCGATGGCCAGTCCGCCACTGCACCCAGCCCACGTAAACTGTCAACGGGCGGAGCCTCGCTGCGGGGAAACGGTGGATCTAGTGTCCCGATCGGATTGGGAATAATAATAATAATAATCCGTGCATTTTATCCATTAATTTCCCCAACATTGTGGTGAAAAAAACACACGTTTAATCCATGTTGGTGTACTACAACTACAAAAAGCATCGGTTTGTTTTCTCATCAGGAAATGCAGACCGGCTCAAACGATTATTAATCATCATCCTCACGATCATTTAATGTATCATATGTTCGCCGAATTGACATGAAAGCACTAATACATGTAGTTTCATCCACTTGAGTTTACAACTACAAAAATAATCGATTTGTTTTTATATCACATCCTACGGGAGGAAATTCAGCAGCTCTCACTACCGATTTGTAATCCTAATGTAATCATCATCTTCACCACGATCATTTATGTTTATGTTCGCCGAATTGACATGAAAGCACTGACAAATATGAATATACTGTAGTCAACTTCATTAAAACGTTATTAACCTGCCTAAACTCAGTAATTCACCATTTCTACGCACGACAACACACTTTGTCCGTGTTTGGCTCTCTCGCCGCACAGTGAAGCGTTCCCGCATTGACGTCACTTCCGGCTTCCCCCAAAACCTCAAAATGAGTCGAAGGAATTTCCCCGCGATGTTCGAAATTATTGATATTTAACGGAACGGTATCGCTTTTTCTTTTTTAAACTGACGGTTCGAGATTACTAGTAGCCCAATATTTCATTGCACAACAGTTGTTGGGATGCTGTCACAGGCTCTTTAAGACACTTTCCCCACATTTTAATCACTATTTCTGCCTTGGAAAGTGATGTTCTCTCAACACATTTCCCCTAAAATGATTTTAAATCATAATTTCTGCATTTAAATGCATTTATTTTATCATTAATATGGTTCCCTGAAAAATGCACATACTCTGGAGCTCACTGGGGTCCGGTATATGTTTTAATCAGGCGTTTTAACACTTTTTTCCATGAAAAATATTTTTAATCACTATCATGGGGCTATATAAATCCAATTACGGGTCATTCGGAGCACAATTGTACCTTTTAATGTTTAAATGTATTTGTATTATATATTTTTGGGCTAGGAAAGTGACATTTCTGGGTGATTTTGTCAGTTTATGGAGCTTAGCCCACAAATCCTGGAGGTTCCAGGCCAAATGTGGGTGCTCATAGGCGACCTGCCATGCGCCCCCACCCGTGGAAAGAAGAAAAAGGTGAAGAAAACGGTTAATTATATCAAAAAAGAAGTTTTAAAAAATGACTAGGTGCAAACGGAGAAGGGGCCCGAAAAAGCTCAACCCTTTGGCTCTTCGGGCCCTTTTTTCCCCATCTCCGTTGTAAGTTGCAATGGAGGAGGGGAAAAGTGTCCGGGGCTTCATTTCCCATTCTCCGTCAAAAAATATTCATCAGAAACCCGGTTTTTGGGTGCACACAGAAAACAAACGGCTGTCTGCAAACACGGAGGTGAAGTGTCCGCTCACCATGCATGGCCTTATTTTGTGCCTCAAGACCCCCCCAACCTGGTTCTCACAAATGTGCCTCTGGAGGAATGCAAGGGGATTCGACAGGGGACTACCCGCATTATGAGGCACTATTTTCGGATACTTTTTTTCTTTTCCGGATCTATTGTACTTCTTAAATATATATGTACACATATATTACACAGTAGTATTCATGTGTTAATGAGCCCACCTGTAAAATAAATGCAGTCAATTAAAGCTGAAAACATTTCCTAACAAATCTAACTTGATAAGAAAAAAGCCCAACAACTTATTTTTATAACAAGCGTGAAATAAACCTTCATACTTCCTGTAATTATAATCAATCTGAAGCTCCTGCTTTAAGGAATGAGCTGCTGACAGACTAAAGTAAACCCTCTGGAGAGCTGAGAGCTCTTTGTTTCTTAAAGCATCTTCAAGTAACGAGCATCCTTTACCTTCATTTGATTTTCTGACTTATAACTGAACTTATGAGGCAGCATACCTCTAGAGAGCGGCCCAGAGCTTTATATATTTCTCTGTATGTGGCCCTCGGTGAAAAAGTGTGGACCCCCCTGTTCTAGACCAATGACTGGTTACTTCCTGTCATGCAGCTGAGAGCTGTGGCAGTCGTAGTGTTTGCAGAGGAGATATGATGGGATGTAAAGCATGAGGTCAGGACTCTGAAGCTGACTCAAAGAACAAACACTTATTTTAAACTGGATCTCAAACTGTTGGATTGTGTTCGTCTCTACAGGATCAATGATGAGCCGTTCAGAGCCACGATCCAGAAGACCTGTGAGTACTGAAACCATATCCTCCATTCATCCAGATATGAAACTCTTTAATGGAGCGTGACCTCAGAGGAAAACAACACTCTTCTTTCTCTCTTCATCATTTGAGCTGTTTCTCTTTGTTTCATCATCATCATTATTCTCTCTCTCTCTCCTCTCAGGTGACAGGAAGTGAAGACACACAGAAAGGTGAGAGGTCGTACCGTGTGAAGTTTATTTATTGAGGTTTCAACACGTGCTTCTGGTGTTCCAGACAAATCTGCAAGCTCAGGTTTTATTTGTTCTCAGTTTCTTCATCACGGGGCGAGTTTGAGACGTGAAGAGGAGCGTGGAGGCATTTTGGAAAATAAAGAAGAAGGCTGCAGCTGATGAGAGACTTCCTGTTAGCTCTCCTCAATATGAAATGAACAAAAACAATCAATTGAACTTAAAGCTTTTCTTGAGAAGAAAGATGTGTTGCACATACTCCTGCTGCTACCTACCACCACCTCCCACCCATCCCGGCACCAGAGAGGAGACTCCATCGACCCCAGATACCCCAACTCACTCTTCTTCAGGTTAGCTCCGAGCCCCGCCTTTACCTGCCCCAACTCTGCCCCCCATCTCACTTTGAACGATGTAGTCATCCGGATATCTGCATACTGAGAGTGGGACGCAGGACCCGGTCAATGAGCTGCTGGAAGGGGGTCCACTGGACTGGAGGGGCGCTTGGATCTGGTGATGCCTTGCTCTTCCTGAAAGGGGAGGACACCTATCTGCCATAGTTCTTCCACCTGACGACTGAGTTCGGCATCGGGGGTTCCAGTTGGTTTGAAGAGACTCTGGGGGGCATCCGATGGCTCCTGAATAGGTGGGGCCCTTGGAGTGTCCAACCTAATGATAAGAATAAGAATAATGCATTTTATTTGTAAAGCACCTTTCATTGCTAAAAGTAATCTCAAAGTGCTACAAGGGGCATAATATACTTTGGTAACACTTTATTTTGATTGTCCATATTTAACACTCTATAAGTCATCAGTTGACATTTAGTAGCATGTCAACAGCAATTAACCAATATTCAACCTTACCATCTGTATATTGTGTCAACATCTTCAAAATTGACAAACTACTCAAAATCAATCTGTCAGTTGAAAGTCAACAGGGTCATGTCGACTATCTGTTGATAATCTGTTGAGAGTCAAGATGTCAACTAAAGATTACATTAAGCATGAGTTGATGATCAACAGATAAGAAACTTTAGAGTTTAGTTGACTATCTGTTGATCGTCAACTCATCTAGAGATGACTATTAGTATACTTTTAGTAGGTTCTCCACTAAGCGTTTGTAGGCATGTGTTAGGACTATCCAATCAAAGTGAAACACAGTTGAGAACAGTAGAAAGTCTATAACCTATCAACAGAACACATACATTCATCCACTAATGATATGCAACAGACATGGGAATAAAGCGAAATGTTTTGCACAACTGATCACAAACTTTATTTATTCATTATGTATGTAATGTTTGAGTTAGAAACACCTGTTCCTGTTTTATTTGACTAATATATAAGATAAATACAGAAGCCTAATGCATTCACTTGAGAAGGTTTTTCACAAGAACTCACAATCTACAGATAGTAAGGTTGAATATCGGTTAATAAGCTGTTGCAAAAAACATGTTGACAGTCAACAGACAGTTGTTGTAAAATCTATAGATCAACACTTGAGATGTACCTTATATTCTACTGGCAGTTAGTTAAATGCATGTTACTTGTCTGTTGAAACAGTGTTGTTGAATGTCAACTGATGACTTGTAGAGTGTTAACTATGGACTATCAAAATAAAGTGTTACCTATACTTTTTTTGGCCTGACTCAATGGAAAAGTACTGAAGCCCCAAAACGTGTTTAGGCCATACCATAGGAGAATATGTCAGGACATGTCCAGTCCCACACACCAGAGGTCATGACCTTTGCCCACATATATGGGTATAAGGAGATGTCTTTCTTTTGTTCCTTTGTGCAGCATAAAAGCACTGGCTAAGAGGGAGAAAAGCTCCAGGGCGGGGTTTCTCCTTGGTAGGTTCTCTCAACTTGGTAAGATCTCTCAAACTGATCGGTGAATTGTTGAATGAAAGTTTGAAAATGTGGAGTCTATTTTTATATAACATTACAAGACTGATTCTTATTATTACATTATTTGCTTATTGTGCTCATGAAATGTTGCTATGACTTTGGAATAAATAGAAACAATCACCAATCCCAGGTTCTGATGGGTTGGATAGGAAACGAAGGGAAAAGTCACAGAAGAAAGTTTTAGCCTGCATTAGAAATGTTGCAAAAGCCAGGTGCACACTGTAGAGACAATGAGTTATTGAGGCTCTGGCCTTGGCCGTGTGTGTGTGCTCAACTCCCCAGCATTACTGGGAATCAGAGTAAATGGAGGATTCCACGATCTGTCTGCAAAGCAGCTTTCGCAAAAACAAATGACAGAGCGGATAGAGTAGGGAGGGACTTTTCACAGGCCGGCCGAATGCTGATTGGAGGTTGTGTTGTCAAGAGACTTTGTCTAAGTCTGTGCACCAACGAGAGAGAGCCAAAGTCTAAACCACGGCCCTCCCCAACTAGTCTCAACCTATCATAAATGTACGGGCAACGCCCTGTGTAACAAAATGCATCGACGCACGAGGTTCGAGGCTCGGTCCGGAAATAGTGGTTACAGCTTTGCTGCCTGTGATTTCTGTGACCTGACAGAGTCCTTGGCCAAGTAACATATATTTTGCTCTCTTATAATAAATAGTTAAACTTAGAAGTTGTTTGTCTTTTCTGGAATTTTGAACACAACAGGAGATCCCTCTAAATGTGGTCGGACTCTAGGCTTGAATGTGTTTTTAGCACCGGCGATTTATGAAGAGATTCCTCTGGATTCTGTCGGATTAGACTTTTCATGTCACAACTGAAGAGGGCAGTTGAAGTTAGAATTTAGTGTAAGAAATGTAAAACTGTGAATTGAGGTTTTATATTAGTAATTTACCACAGCATGATATATTTTTGTATGATTGTCATATTGTAACGAGAGAAGGTAAAAACCCTATATAAGTGTGTACCATTTTCTTCAAATAAAATCCTTCTACCTTTTTGGATTGGGGTAACTTAAAGAAATCTGCACTCTCCTCTCCTGCTTTAAGGTAAGATTGCACATCTGCCACACTCACACTTAGGCAGGGCCACCTGCACTACGCTTTTAGAATTTGTAACAGGACACCCTGTCCTGTTATTAAAAAATGTCTGGCTAAAGTCCTCTTAATTAACACACACACACACACACACACACACACACACACACACACACACACACACACACACACACACACACACACACACACAGGAACACACACACACGGGCATACACACACAGAGTCACACACACACACACACACACACACACAGGAACACTCACACACACACATACAGTCTCACACACACGGTCACACACACACACACACACACACACACACACACACACACACACACAGAGAGTCACAGTCACACACACAGGAACACACGGGAACACACACACACACACAGGAACACACACACACACGGGCATACACACACAGAGTCACACACACACACACACACACACACAGGAACACTCACACACACACATACAGTCTCACACACACGGTCATACACACACACACACACACACACACACACACACACACAGAGAGTCACAGTCACACACACAGGAACACACAGGAACACACACACACACACACACACAGAGAGTCACAGTCACACACAGTCACACACACAGGAACACACACACACACAGAGAAAAACACACAGAGGAACACACACATGGAACACACACACACACACAGAGAGTCACAGTCACACACAGGAACACACACAGGAACACACACACACACAGAGAAAAACACACAGAGGAACACACACATGGAACACACACACACACACACAGGAACATTTATTAAAATATTACAATAGTCAATATACAAACGTCATAAAGCTCTGGAGGCTCCAATAAATACTTAAATAATTAGAATAAATATTAAAGAAACAGAAAAGTAGGTGCTTTTTCTACACTATAAACCTCCAGTTAGCTTTTAAAATGCTCTTTAAAATAGATGACCAAATAAGATCATTATAATTATTTCCAAACTTCACATCAAATATTTTCGTCTAACCAAAAATGCAGCTTTAATCCATCTTCGTTTTCATCTAATTTGTTTGTTCTGGTACTTTTATCCAACCACAACAAAAATTAATATGTTTTAAGGGTGATGAAAAACATCTGATAATAGTCATATATTTTGTTCACACCTATTCTTGCGACAAAGATATGTAGAATCAATATAAATCTGATGACACTCAGGTGTGTTTCCTCTCACCTGCCAGGTGTCTCTGTCCGAACCCAGGTATCCAGAGAAAGCCTTCTGACCCCAGGGACTCTGAGCCGGGTTACAGATTGGAGCGAACGCCGACACAGTCTGAGGGAACACAGGAGAAATCAGATATAACGACCAGAATATGTGAACACACACACACACACACTGGATTCAAGATTCAACGTTTTAACATCAGTATATTGTAGCTGGATCTCTTACAGCCACCTTGTAGAGAAGGAACAACAGTTTATGTGATTGTTATTTTATAATCTCTAAACAAACAACATACTTTTTTATCCGCACATTCTTGCACACAAACAGGAAAGGAGGCAATGTCAGTGTGACCATATAAGGGCACTACGATGCAAGCTAATGTCATAAATGGTCGAGAAAATGCTGAATTCTTCCCCCTAAAGTAGACTATTGTTCATCAAATTCATAACTTCTAATGTTTCATAATTATTTTACATGTTTGTTTTGTGGGCTGGTGTTTCGGGGATATACAGTAGCCACCGATGATGTCTCTGATGGCGCTGAATGAATCACACTGAGCACCAAATGGCCCGTCATCCCTGTCCCTGATAGGCTCTTCAGCAGCCTGCCAGTGTCTCTGCTTTAGGTCCAGCCCTTGGTAGAATAATGTATCCCAGCAGACGCTGCAAAGGGCATGGCCTGGTTTATATTTCCCTAAATAACTGGGACAATGGGAACACATATTATTGATAACATTTAAAATTCTAGTGAGGGGTCTAGAAGTTTCCAAAGGTATTGGGATGCAGTGAGTAAGGTTGCATTTGATGTTAAGGACATTTACATTTTTTACATTTGATAAATGATGTGTGATACCTTCTCACAATCTGTAGGATATTCATGTTAAGGTGAATAGGGTACATTTTTTTAACTTAAAGGTATCAGCTAGAAATTTCTCCGGTTAATTACTTGCAATAAGGCAATTGTTTTTTGTATTACAAGTTTTCTGAAATAGCATGTTTAAATATAAAAATTATCCATTATCTCATTAAATTTGCGCATATTTTAACACATTTCAGGAATCGAAATCTGAACTTTGGATAAAGCCAGGTTCAAAATTCTTGTTTAATTTTGTAGTCATATTAGTATCTAAGGTTTTCACAGAAGCGATATTGGATATCTCTTTGTATCACTCCATAATTCAGAAAATACTGTCAACAGCCCTAAAATATCAATTTTCGCCATGTTTTTAGGTATACAATGTTGTATAATTCAGGCTATGAATGATATATGAACAAACCCTTCTGTAAAAGCCTTCATAATATTGATAGGAATATAACTGGAAGGTTTGGTGCATCTACGTGCTACTGAAGTTGACATTTCGAACTCAGAGTAGGAGAAAAAACTCATTTTGAGAAAAGGACCTTTAAAGATTGCAGTGAGGCGCTAGCTTAACCCTCCTGTTCTTTGGATGACAGCTTGCGCATCGACGCACTCCGTGAAGGTATTTCATGTTCGGGGTCATTTGTTTTTTGTCTAACCTTGCTTCGTGCAAGTGACAATTGTTGTCGTCTTCTCTGTGAACTTTTTTTTCGCCTTTCTTTTGCCATTTTGAGATTTCAATTTCCAGCTGTAAGCTAACCAGGAAGTGTTTTAGCACACCACGTGACGCATCTGAACGAATCACGTTGTCAGAAATTGACACCAGCCAATGAGATTTCGTTTCTTGGTTTAAGACCTTTGTGCTTTCACGATTGGTTGCTGATACAAAGGAAATGACCATATTTGGATCCAATGAGATTGTGCAGGAGAGACACAGCTTTCCAGCGATATCTCTGATGACTTGGTGCACACAGCTTTCCAACGATATCTCTGTGATGGGAATTCTGGCTCTTCTTGGTGAGCCGGATCATTTGGCTCGGCTCACCAAGAAGAGCCGGCTCTTTCGGCTCCCAAACGGCTCTTCAGTTTACCACATATTATACCTTTTAATTAAATGTAGCCCTGTTTTGACTAATGATTTATATGTACACATATATCACTTAAAATATTCAATACATCCTTTGTACTGAAGTATTCAAAAGTAAAAATGATTGTGGCCAAATGTTTTCATTGCATTTAGAGACCCTTGTAACTCTCTGATACCACCCAATTAATGCACTGACTTGCTTGTAGAACCACACTACACAAAGCAGATAGCAACACCTATAACAACTTAAGCATAGACATTTAAAAAAAGGGGCTACTGTATCGACATTTTAAAATTATATTTAAAGAAAAGGCCCTGACAAAACAGCAGGGCTCTATTTCAGTAACTATTAACTACAGTATAGAAAAAAAGACAGCAACAGCTGACATCAAATCTTTGCTGAGCCTAAGGATAATCATAAATAAATAACATAGTGAACATAAATATATTGCAATGCTCAAAACAGCAGCATCCAACCGTCTCTAATCCATGGATATTACATGTCACTGCATGCATGCACGGAGCAGCTGTAGCACCGAGATCATCATCATTCTGTCTTGTATTACTTAAAGTGGACTTATCATGCTATATTTGAACAATACATTGTAGGGCCATACCTATATAGATATAGTTTTTTTTTCAAAATACCAAAAAGATCCTGCATTTTAGCCATGCCTCATTTCGCTCTATTTGCTCTTTCCAGCGCTGATTTTGCAGGGGGCTGATTCTGTGAGCTGCAGCTGACCACGCCCCCCTGCAGGAGAGGGGAGCGTGCACTGAGATCAGCTGCTGGGCTGCAGCGGGGAAAAGAGGGGGAGGAAAAGAGATCTCCGTCCTCCGTGTTTTATTCTTATAGAAGTAAGAAGAGAAGTAATGGGGCAGAAACTCTCCTTTTTACGCAGCGGTCCAGACATAGACATGAAACGGCGACACATATTCAGTTCCTTTGGCATTAGGGCAGGGATATCTGGATACTTTCCAAGGTTTGACATCATGAATTGTGCTACTTTTAAAGCAAGCAACGATGTTTTCAAATCTGTAATCAAAAAGCTCCTCAAAAACACTATCGAAGCAGTTCCTGCCGTTGCTACGTTAGTTCAAACAGTAACAACGGACTACTTTTCTTAGCGGATGCATGTCAATTTAAATCAATACAACTATTTTTTAAATCAATAAAATCATTTTCTAAATCCATAAAAGCATTTCACTTAATATTGGGAGTCATGTTGTTACTTTGTTGAGAATGTGGCCATGTGTAATAAGCGGGATAATGTGCACATTGCATAATGTGCCTTCATGCCGATCTAGATCCCTCCGCAAAAACAAAAAAAAAACGGCTCGTTCGCGGGCGCGAGCCGGCTCCCGTCGTTCACTTAAAAGTTTGCGACCGACACATCACTACGACATGGTGCACACAGCGGTCGCGGTTACGTTAGAATGCTAACTTTTGGTGAATTTAGGAGAAATCTACAGACGCAAATAGACAAACTATAGTAAAATAAACACTTAAATTTGTATTTTGTACGTTTTCCTTCCAAAAGCCTGAAAGAAAACATGTTATAGAATCAAAATAGCACAAAATCTCAAAATTGACCAGTATTTGAAAAACTATGTTTTTGCCTGCCGTGTCTCGCCTTAAACTCTAAAGGTGACATTTTTTTCATTTGGATTATAAACTATGGCAACGGTGTGAGTCCCAGGGATGTTTGACAGGCTAAATATTTACTCAATGCCTTTTCCTTTAATAGGGACGAGCACTCACACATCATCCACTATATACATTCCCTCATCCACAGAGATTCTGCACCTTAAACTATGATGGAGGAAGAGTTATACACGGTGTACAAGGGGGTCTACGTGGTCTCATCTATGCACACGCCAGAGAGTCTGAAATACTTTGAAGAGTTTGCTTTTCGCCCAGATGATATCATCATCGTGACGTATCCCAAATCTGGTGAGTTGTAAGTGTTAGGTGTTGAATGTGTGCACCACTACTCAAGATACGTTTTTATTATTTGATTTGTAAAATAATTGTAAAATGAAAAGGAAGACATTTCCTGCTGCTTTGTATTTCTGTGAGAAGCCAGATGAGACAAGAGCAAGTGAAAATAATTCACAAGCACTGATATGTTTTGCCATTCGCACGATATGAATCCTGGTGCAGCAGTTCACCAAAGAGAGTTTCACAGGCAGTTAGGGAAAAGGTTCTATAACAATCTAACAATTCCAAATGTTGTTGATCACTGCTAAAACATAGCTATTTTCCATCGTTCCTGTGACGTAGTGTCCAAAAGTATAGTTTAAATAGAATGCCTATAAAACCCTGCCTGCCGTCATTGTTTTGTTTTTGAACACCTTTGTTAAACACTAGACCCCATGTCTTTCAAAATATACTTCATTGATAATTGCAGTGTAGATATATGTAGCCTACTGGGTTTTCTGTTACTGTAAAAGATGGGCTTTAGCTATAGCTAGCTAATTTTTCAGATGGGTCCGTTGGGTTGTCGTTAGGCAGTGTTCAAAGACATCCGGGGTCCTACAGCAGTACCATGATCTCTCTGTCCATGCTCGGAGGTCCGGTTGAGGACAATGACCCTACTACTGTATGCCAATGATCCAAGTATCAACAAGTTAGTTCCTCTGATTTGGACTTACTTAATGTTTTAAAGGTCACCTATCATGCTATTTTTAGGCAATAGCATAGGTCTCAGATATATACAAATATATAAAAAACATGTCTATGAAGTGTTTTGCTCAAAATACCAAACAGATCACCCATTCTAGCCATGCCTCACATCCCTCTATTTCACTTCCTGTTTCAAAAGTGCTGATTTTGGCGTATAAAGCTGGGCTCATGCGGGAGGATTATCTCTGAAACTGTATGGAGCTCAAAGGCTTTCACTCTTGCCGGTTATACCACAAGGTGAGTTCCTTTTGATATCCAGCTTCTTCACACACATGCTCTCCAGTACAGGTTAGCTCTGAGTGTTAGCGATGCTAATGTAAACACCGACCATATTACGTCCAAAACAGTCGGTCATTGTTTCTGATAGCAACGTTTCTGATTGGGCCGTGGGTCCACATTTCAGATATTACGTCATATCGGACGCAAATCTGGATCAGCTCCGTTGTTCCCCCGTTTTTAGAGATTTGGGCACGGAGGAAAAGAGAGAGGGTTTTATGTTCTGACGCTGCGTGAGTTCCCCGACACACCGGGGACACATGGTTATGTAGAAAAGACATCAACAAGTGCATTTTGCATGATAGGTCCCCTTTAAGTTGTTTCTAATGGTGTGTCCCTTCATGTATTGAATCTGCACAAACAATTAACAGATAGCTACAAAGCAATGTTTTTACTGGTGATTCAACATAATATCCAAACGACATAGTAACATTTCTTGTAAAATCATATGAAATAAGAAGTTAACTTGAGACAGAGTGGAGATTGACATTTGGCCAGAGATTTCAATAATAGTTGAACCATCTTTTGGATGGTGTGTTTGTGTATGAAGTATTACATTTGGCAAGCACACAAGATAAGAAAGAACCCTCCCTCCTGGTTGGCTATTGCCTGTGACTTTGGGAATGTTTTCATGGTATTAACAATTCACGAGTAATTAATTAGTGGTTATCTTATTCTGAAGGCCGCATTTAAGCACAAGCAAACGAGTATGGGGTGGGGTGAAAATGGGTATAATTTCACCTCACCCCAAGTTTTACAAGGGCTAATAAATACATATTTAAGAAAATATTGTTTTCTTTTTGTTTAGGTACACACTGGATGCAGGAGATTGTCCCTCTGATCATGAGTGGAGGAGATCCAGCACCTGTTGACACGATTGTTAACTGGAAACGTGTTCCCTGGCTTGAATTGCAGCAGACTGCCTCCCTCGAACTTGAACAGAGGCCCTCTCCACGACTGTTGACTACACACTTCCAGTACAACATGATGCCACCATCTTTCTTTGAAGTAAAGCCAAAGGTAAACCTATCAACTAAGGCGGATCAGATTCAATGTGATAAACGCATCACAGACAGTATGTGTGAAGGAAAGGGTCTGACGTCATGTCATCACTGCAGGTCATCTATGTGACGAGGAACCCCAAAGATGTGTTCACATCGTCTTTTCATCATCATGAGGCGGCTTCCTTCCTGGTGGACCCAGGCCCACAGACCCAGTTCCTCCACAAGTTCCTTGATGGAAAAGGTTTTTCTGATTGTTACAGCTATGTAATGTTTAGAATGCGTTCATAACACCATACATATCAGTGAGTGGGACGAAAACTCTTAAAAACCTTTTACCTGGTAACATGATTTAAAGGGGACTTATCATGCACATTCTCAATTGTGTTTTGGGATTTTACTAGCCCATGATTACGAACTTTAATGTTCAAAAAACACATTCTTGTTCTTATAAATTCTCTGAAAATGCTCATTTGAAGCACCTGTCTTTTTAAAGCAACCCAAAATACCAGCAAGAGTCAAATAGAGAAGACGGTCCATTCTTATACATTGTGGGTCGCTAGCACACCATGGATACATGTGTATCTTGCAAAGCCATTTAGTGCTTTTTGCATTATGTGTAGCCTTTAACAAGGGAGATCTTGAAAGGTTCAGTAAACAAACTAAGTTATGATAACCTCTTATGAAAGGAATACTTGTGTCTCCTGTTCCTTCCAGTTCTGTTTGGCTCGTGGTTTGATCATGTGAAGAGCTGGCTGAATGCTGCAGATGAAGAGCACATCATGCACATCTCCTATGAACAGATGATAATGGTGAGACTCAGGAACAATCCTCAAATCTGCCTCAAATCAATTTTCCAAATATTTCCCCAATAGTTCTGACCATGATTTAGCAATCATCTTCAAACTCCTCCTACTAAGATAGTGTATACTGGGAGAGCCGCTGCAGGACTATGAGCGTATCTGTGTTTGTCTGCAGGACCTGAAGGACTCTGTGGGCAACATGGCTCAGTTCCTGCAGAAACCTCTGGACCATGAAGCGATAGAGAAGATAGCCGACCGATGTTTGTTCAAGAACATGAAGAAGAACAACATGTCAAACCTCTCTACTGTTCCTCGTGAATTAATGGACCAGACAAAGTCTGAGTTTCTCAGGAAAGGTGAGTGTCATTAAATAATACATAGAATACAAAAGGTTTATTTGAATCTGGAGGAGCTATAACCGAGGACACACTGATGTATTTCCGTTGCGCAATACATCCTGAAATAATCTGTTCATGAAATACATAATGATGTTTATGGAGAGTTTGCTGGGCTTTATTTTCTCACTAATATTGTACTATCTAGTCATAGCATGTCTTTGGGGGTAGGGCATTCATTGGTGCTGAGTCATGTTTGGTGGATGGTATCAGGACCATCAGGGAATCCTCAGAAACTGACATACTATATTTCTAAATAGCAAGAACATATTTGTCTATTCAAAATAAGATAGAAAGGTATATTTCTCCAACTTAATAAGGATTTCCTTTTCTTCCCATGTTGTGTTTCAGGAATTGTTGGAGACTGGAAAAACCAGCTAACCCCGGCAGATGCAGCGTACTTTGACGCTGTTTACAAAGACAAGATGAAAGATGTCAAACATACATTTGCATGGGATTAAATGGGAACACTTTAACATTGCCTCCTGCAGCATACCATGGTTCTCAGAAATGAATAAGCCATTTCTTAATCACAACAAATGGTTTGGTTAATGAGGTTTGTGGCAGCAGAATTGGAGAAACACAAACAAACGTTCTTTAACTCCTCTTGATAGATTAAACTGTGTTATCGTTTTCATAGACAGACCATCAGAATCAAAGATGATGTGTTTGAAGAACTAGCTTCTTGATTTGTTCATATAACACTGCCTTAACAGAGTTGTTGTTGTGTGACCTGAGGTGTTCACCTTGGCTGGTTTGTGTTATGGCCAAACCGATTATTGATGTACCATAAGTCATGTATTATTTCACTTTATGCATCACCAGGCTGCATGTTTGATATGAAACATTCAGCCTTCAGTTGAACTAGTAACAAATAAACCCAATGAGCCTCAGGTGAACTTACTTGCATAAGTTACAGACATGCTGACTGCAGTGGGACTCGAACTTGCTATCCCCTGATTTGAAGTTCAGCACACTACCCACTGAGCCATGTTAATACGTAACAATGCAAATGTGATATCAGACACAATCATACTAAAACCTTAAAGCAACATGAACCTGCTTGCCTTATTGTGAACGGATGAAGATCACAGTGATTAATAAAACATTTCCTTTCCAATAAAAAATGTCTGCATCAAATGTTGTAACAAAATCACAGAATGTTTTGCTCCTCCTTCATTTTACAATATTTGTATTTGTATTTTTCGAGTTTCATTTAATCTATTCATCTGCCCTGCTTTTACAAATCCTCTTCTTTGCCTTTACGTTTATTTTATATAAAGATGGTGAATAAGTCATATATTTGTGTTATTACATACAGTATTAATTAAATAATTATTTACCTAATCTTGGGCTTCTGAATTGCATACATTTGTTTTTCTTGAGAGTGGAAAGTGTGAAAAACGTAAAGAACGTGACACAATGACTGCGACTCAAATGCAGCGACTCAACAATAAAAGTACAAAAACAAAAGTGTTTACAAAATGTAGGAAAGAATGTGCAAAGGCAAATTGCAAATAATACAAGACTTAATTAACGTGGCTCTTGGTAGATGGTAAATAAAGTTCTTAGCTTGAAACACGCTGGCTTTCTTGACATGGCATGGAATGAGGCGAACTGGCACATGACAAAGGAGGAAGAGGGTCAGTTAAGCTTAGGAAGGTTCCTAACGGAGTGAAAGGACCCGGCAGAACCCAAGTGTCAGCCTGATAATTACATTACATTACATTTAGCTGACGCTTTTATCCAAAGCGACTTACAATAAGTGCATTCGACCAGGAAGACACAACCTTGAAGAAAACAGAATCATATAAGTACATCAGGTTTCATAGAGCCAAAACATTTCAAGTGCTACTCAACTGGCTTTAGATAAGCCAGTCCTTTATTAGTATATAAGTGCTCTGTTAGCAGTTCTTTGTTAGTAATTCTATCGCTCGAAGTGGAGTCGAAAGAGATGAGTTTTCAGTCTGCGCCGGTGATAAGATATCTAAATGATAAATCTGTTGTCTAACATTTTCCAAAGTTAAAATCTTACATGTGTCACTTGTGGTCACACATTGTCTTTCTAAGGATAAGCCATTGTTCATTTGGATTAGACACTAGGACATTATGTAAACTGGACCTTTTTGGTGCACTTGGTTGCAAATTAATTTACCACACTTGAAACCTTTGTAAGTAGGATGTTGTTACAGTCCTCCAAATGCAAACCTAATTTATTTAAACTAAGTATGTGAAATGTTAGATAAAGTGTGTGATCGTCACAGAGAGATTTATTTTCTAGGAGATTTAAACATAGACAGGAATATCCTGCACTGTGCCTGTAGTGGCTATTTGTCAACAACAATAACACTTCAAAAGGCCACTGAGGCACCAGGTATAGTGGATCTTACGCAGATCATGAGTTGGTAATGAGTCCATTGTCCAGACAAGGCATCAACGTTTTTGTGGTATTTATTAGCTTCACCTTGGCAAGAACAATACAGCAAAAGGTGTTGAAATGTTTGCTGAACTCAGCCCTGATACTGGTAAAAAACCATAGACCTTCCCGGTGCCCACTGACTGCTGCTGTGCCCTGATTGACTTAAATAAACCCAGCTGTGTGCCCAAATTGACCCATCACCTTCAAAATAAAAGCATTTTAGCTGGAACTCAACTTAACTTAAATAATATGGCTGTAAATCAATTAATTCTACAAAACAAAAAATAACAAATAAATACATTAAATAAATGTGAAAAATACTGAATAGCTTCCACAGCCGGTATGAAAGGGTCTGTGCCGGAAATATCAAACATTTAATAAAAGTGAACAAGACAATGAACAAGACTTAACGTATTAATAATGATTAATTATATTTATTCCATTTGGATGCACGATTTTTGACTTTGTGCAGTGATCTTCTCTTCCTCTCTGCAGCAGAGAGCTAAACGATGTCAGACCGGACCTAACCCTAACATTCCTCCAGTCAGAAAAAAGTCTGAGTGAACTTTTTGGAGAACCATAAAAAATGGGTAAAAGTGAGGAAATGTATCCGAAAATAGTGCCTCATAATGCAGTTAGAGTCCCCTCAAACTCCCCTTACATTCCTCCAGAGACCAGTTCAAAAACTTAAAGTTTGGTAAGAACCAGGCTGGGGGGTCTCCAGGCAACAAATCTATCCGAGCCAGAGTGCACATGGAGCGGATGAATTTCTCCAGGACATCAGACAGCCGTTTTTTTTTCTGAGTCTTCTCAAAAACCGGGTTTCCGATTTCGTGCAGACAGTAGTCTGAAATGGATGAATGCATTTTTTTGACGGAGAAGGGGAAGCTTGGTTTCCCCACTCCGTTGTAAGTTGCAACGGAGAAGTGGAAAAGTGTCCGGGGCTTAGGCCCGAAGCGCCAATAGGTTGAGCTTTTTAGAGCCCCTTCTTCGTTTTCTTCGACAATTTTTTAAAACTTCATTTTTGATTATTTTAAGATATAATTGACCGTTTTCTTTACTTTTTTCTTCTTTCCACAGGTGGGGGCCCATGGCAGGCCGCCTATGAGCTCCCAAATTCAGCAATGGAACCTCCAGGATTTGTGGGCTAAGCTCCATTAGCTGACAAAGTCACCCAGAAATGTCACTTTTATAGCACAAAAATATATAATACAAATACATTTAAATAGTAAAAGGTACAATTGTGCTCCGATTTACCCGGAATTTGATTTATATGGCCCCATGATTGTGAATACAAATCATTTTCATGGAAAACATGTTAAAACGCCTGATTAAAGCACATGCAGGACCCCAGTGAGCTCCAGACTATGTGCATTGTGTTAGAGAACCATATTAATGATAACATAAATCATATAAATGCAAAAATAATGATTATAAATCATGTTTAGGGGGACAAATGAAGCTTAGCGCAAGTTCAAGCAGGAAGACCAAGCTCTTCATTCATATTACACGTCACTTCTTTACCCTCTCCTCCCTCATTAAGTGATCGGGGCGTCACTCCCCAGCTAACCAATCACTCCTCTCTCCATTCTCACAAGGCTATCGTTGCACCCGCTAATCCCTTTATATCTGCTCTTCCCTCTTGTCAGCTGTCATTCCAGGTGACAATACGCAAATGGTAGTACACTAATACTCCTCTTCAGTTAAACACTCAGGAATATATAACCTCAAGATGTCTAATTCAGACTTTTTCGAACCTTTTTCGAAGGATCTCTATCCTGGCTCCGATGTACCTCCAGAAGTAGCTTCCAACTCCTCAAGCCACCGGCGCATGAGCGCCCGTCTGGCTTCCCGTGGAGGCTCACGTACGGCAGAGGCAGACTTCCTCTTCTCCCATCTACTGCAGCAGGGCATTTCTGCAGCCCCAGGTCTCTCTCTCTCCCAGCTTCGGGAGCTCTCGGACCAAGTCTCCGGCGCGGTCCCCCAGCCCAAGCCAGCAGCTCCAGCCAGCTCTCCCGAGAGATCAGGGCGAGGGCGCGGGAGAAAAAGGACAAGGAAGGCGAGTCCTCCACGAGCTCGCTCGTCGAAAAAATCCACCGCTTCCCAGGGTCACCCCAGCGCCGACCAGCCCGGGAGCACCGGAAACCAGCCCCTCACGGACGTTAGCTTAGCAAACACCCTGCAATCTCTGGCAAGCTCCTTGCTGCTAATCGACGCTCGCCTCCAGTCCATGGAAAAGGGCCCTGCTGGAGCTTCAACCTCTTCCGCGAACAGGGCCGGGTCTTCTGCTTCGGTACCGCCAGGGTTTATGCCGGGTTAGGGAATGCTCCAGTATTGGGGAAAAATTAACATGGGATCACTCCGGTCATTGTACGTACTTCGTCTCACTGGAATATTAACGGTCAGATTGAATACAACATCGACCCAATTTATCTGGTCAATGACGGGAGAGTTTTGAAAGTGACAAAACACTGTTTTCACACATTTAAAAACACGTAAACAATTAAACAATGTTTACCCAGGATTCAGGCACCTTCCCTGGCTTGTAAAATGTGGTGATGCGCCCTGGAGGTATCAGACTATTTAAAACATATATACCCAGGATTCAATCACTTTTCCTGGCTTGCAAAGTGCTGTGAAGCAGCCTGTCCTCTGTGTGGGAGAGCGAGGTGCTGGATGGAGCTCTCTGGGTCACAGCCTGCTGCTGCTCTCTCCCTGTATTCACATAACTTTTACCCAGCTTTCACACACTTATTCCTGGGTAAGAAAGCCATGTGCATCACCCTGGATCTCTGCCTAGGTGCCTTTGAGTGTGAGACCCTGCTTACAGTCCGTCGTTTGGGGCTCTGTGAGGGGCTACAAATGGGTGCTTTTCCCAGTGTATTTCATGGAAGTCTGACATAGCCTGTTTGCACATGTCAGGGAGAGATGGGTGGTGCTGTGAATAAGGCCGAATATTGATGCTGGTGGGCGGACAGTAAAGCACCACAAAAGCCATCACCTTGAAGTGTTACCAGGGCCATGAGAACATTCTCCACAGGAGGGTGGGTGGTGCTGTGAATAAGGCAGAATATGGATGCTGGTGGGCGGACAGTAAAGCACCACAAAATCCATCCCCTTTAAGTGTTACCAGGGCCATGAGAACATCCTCCACAGGAGGGTGGGTGGTGCTGTGAATAAGGCCGAATATGGATGCCTATGGGCGGACGGTAAAGCACCACCAAATCCATCACCTTTAAGTGTTACCAGGGCCATGAGAACATCCTTCACAGGAGGGTGGGTGGTGCTGTGAATAAGGCCGAATATGGATGCCGATGGGCGGATGGTAAAGCACCGCACAATCCACCCCCCCCTTTAAGATAACCAGGGGCATGAGGTTCTGTAGGGTGTGAACATCTGGGTTTAGTCCGTGGGGGAGTGCTTAAGTCCGGGGGCCCGGGGTCTCACGGTGTGCGATTTTATGGAAGTGCGCATGTTAGGGAGATATGCTGGAGCTGCTTAGTCCGTCGTTTGGGGCTCTGTGAGGGGTTACAAATGGGTGATTTTCCCGGTCTATTTCATGGAAGTCTGACATAGCCTGTTTGCACATGTCAGGGAGAGATGCTGGAGCTGCTTAGTCCGTCATTTGGGGCTATGTGAGGGGCTACAAATAGGTCTA